ACATATATACTTTTATCTTCTTTTTCAGTAGATTGCATATGTTTCCTCAATTATTTTTTTTTTGTCAAATGTAGACTCAAAAACACTGTTGACATTTTGCAAGAAAAAATGAGTTTGTACTGTGGGTACAGTATTCTTCAGCTTTTATTCTGAAGAATGTTCTTTCTGATGCTTAGATAGTTTAGGGAAAAATGACTAAGAGGATAGTGAAGTATTGGATCAGTTCTCTGTTAAAGCTCTTTAAGAACTCTTGGCTACACATTTACACTCAGCTCTGTGCTGTCTAAAAAGAAAGGTAGAAATATCTGTTTAAAAAAGTGATGTTCCAGGCACAGAACAATGTTGTTGAGGATCACACCTGAACCTGGATTGTGGATTTCCCACTCCTATTCTAGAAAAATAGTAATGAGAAATATGCTTTCCTTGAAAAAGGAAAATCTGGGATTCAGAGCTTCTAGAAAGCAGTTTTCTCAAAAGCTGGTTCTGATTCCAAAAAACAATCAGGTTACCATAATTTATGTTGTTGGCAAGAGTTGGAGTCGTGACACCTGCAATAAGAAAGCTCTGTATGTGATATTGGGCAGTGTCTCATAAATCATGCAGTTTGCCAGCTACCTGTCAGAGGAGAAAATCCTGCATGTAAATTTAGACCCACAGAAGTCATTGCTGGATCGAGGGGCTTGTGGATCAGACCTTCCGATCCACCTTCAACACCTTGCCAATATTCTGCCCTGCTAGTGCTCTTCTCTTGGGAAAACACATCTTTATGGCTTTGACAGGAAAAGTTCAGCAGTCTGCTTTTTAATGAAGAAAGTGCAGCATAAACTTCCAATCCAGTTCATACATGTATGAATTTGGTATATCATATTAAAAGGAATAGTGACTAATGATTTCAAAATGGGATATCTTTACTTAGGTGCTTTAAATTAAATTTAGATGTGTGAATAAAATGAGTCTGCCTTTCAGGAGAACTTGGCAAATAATTCTCAACTGAAAGTTTCCACCTTGTACTAGGTCTGGCTGGGATAGTTAACTTTCTTCGTAGCAGCCTGGGTGATGCTGTGTTTTGGATTTGTGGCTAAAATTGCTTGATAACAAACCAATGTTTTGGCTGTTGCTACACAGTGCTTGAAGGGTGTCAAGGCTTTCTCTTCTTCCCATTCTGCCCCCTCAATGAGTAAACTGGGGATGGGCAGGTGACTGGGAGGGAACACGGCTTGGACAGCTGACCCGAGCTGGCCAAAGGGATATGCCAGACCATGTAACAGCATGTTCAGCAATAAAAGCTGGGACAGGGAAAGAAGAGGGAGTTTGGCTTCTGAGGTGGCCTTTGTTTGGAGACTGGCTGGGCATCAATCTACACGTGAGAAGTGGTGAGCGATTTCCTTCACTTAGTCTGGTTTTAGTGTTTGGGCTTTTTTCTTTTCTTTCCTTCATCTATTAAACTGTCTTTATCTTGACCCATAAGTTTTCTTGCTGTTGTTCCTGTTTTCTCCCCTCACCCTGCTGGGGTAGGAGGGAGTGCGCGGCTGCGTGAGTGCTTGGATGCTGGCGGGGAACAACGCACCACACACCTGTACACTCAGGTATTGATTTTTCCACTAGATTGAGAAGGTAGCAGTGAATTATATTTATAGCCCATCAAATTAAGGAAATGCTTAATCAGCAGCCTCTGATTAAATCACCCCTACTCAGGCAATGAGTAAGGCAGTTATGGGTTGTTGCCCTTTTCTTTTTGCAGTCAGTATTCTGTAAGAATTTGGGTGTAAAGGATGCTACAGTTGGTTTTAGGAGGGTGGTCTGTATCATCTGCTACCTACCCACTCAGCATGAGTTATTGCCACTGTTATTACCACCTCCAGTACCGGGGAGAGACTTGTTTATGCTAATGCACAGTACTAGAAATTTCTTTTCAGAAGAACTGAAATTTTTACTCTTACTTGGCTGGTGTCATGCAATACTTGCAATTGTTTTAGTTAACTTTGGTAATCCTGTAATAAAGATAATCCTTTAATATGTTATATAAAATAGTAATCCTATTATAGAGACACTTTTTAGAGACCTAATAGTAAATGGAGAGCAAATTCTGATTTTAGCAATGTAAAACATTAGTTTAGAGTTGTTACTGGCATTTTTGATGTGTCCATGTAGACTATTGGAATCTATGCAGCCAAAGTCCTAGAAAATTAACAAAAATAAGCTTTAAACTTAAGCATCTAGCAGTGCACTTGGTTTTTAGTAAATATATATAATGTTGTCCTCTTCTAAATTGGACTTCTTATTATAAAATTTGTACATGCTTTAGATTTCTACATCTTCAGTATATGTTGATCTTATGGACCTCTTAAAGAGCTAAGAATTAACGTAGTGTGTTGGTTAAGAGCACCAGTAAACCATTAGTAATGGTTTCAAATGGTTTCCAATAATGTTATATTTTTAGAAATTACATGGATGTAATGAATCTAAAGTCAACAAATGTGTTGATTATGTCACATGAAGTAGAACATATCAGTTACATTTTATTACATTGGGGTAGTTATAAAAATACATACAATAACGTCTCTGTTGAACTTCAGTGTTAAACATTTCATACAGAAAACTACAAGTGTGTTTCTAAAGATCTGTCTCTAAAAACCCATAGGTAATTTTTATTGAAGACAATAACGAGAGGGGTTTTTTTCTCCTTATTTAAGGACAAAAATTAATGATCAAGTGACATTATTTTTAAATTCTAAGCTGCTAAATATTTTTCCTAAATTAAGTATATAATTTTTTTGAGAATGATCTTGAATGTTCACAGTGTCTTGAAATCTAAAAGGTTATGTTCTCTTTCTTCCCCTTGGCTGGATGTATGAATAGTATATCCAGTTACTGATGTCTCATTCTGCTAATCCAGTGCTTTCATTATGAAAAGAACCTTCATGTTAACAGTTTAAGGCTGGTTTGCTTTAGCATGGACCTAAATATTAGGGATGCTGTTGTAGTTCATTTCTGGAAGACAATTGGAATACTAGTTGGTCAAGCTTCTTTTGAAGATTTCTCTTTAAAGACAATAGGAATTCAGCCCAAATCAAGAGATATGAGCTTCCTGTTGTAGTTGGTTTACTTGTCTGAGAATTTTCAGCTTCATATCTGAGTTTTTCCTGCTATATACAAGGCATGCTCTGATATGATACCCAAAAGAAAAACAGGAGGGGGAAAAAAAAAAAAAGCTAACTTGTATCTTTTGTCAACTTTTTTTTCCCTTCATAAGAGACTTCCAATAATGGCTGAAGCGGTGGTTTCTAATTCTGCAGACAAATTAATTTCTTGTGATCCAAACTGTTCTTCAACTATGTTTTCTTTTTTATGTTTTTCTCTCTTTTTATTTTTTTATTTACTTACTGTTCTATATGAGAAAGTTTTTTTGGAAATCATCTGTTTCTGGACACAATGAACACAAAGCATCATAATGCATGAAAGGATGGCACATATTAGACTGAGGATGTAACTAAAGCAAGCAAACCTTATGCTATTAACGCAGAAAGGCACCTGAATATTTTTACAAGATTTTTGCAGATCTGAATAACTAAGATATAGGTGACTGAGTAAACAATCTTCCATCTCCTGCTAAGTTGAAATGTATCCACAGAGAAAGCAAAAAGCTAGGAAAGCTGTCTTTCATCACTTCTTGTATTGAGATAATTCCTTCTGCAAACGTGTTTATTGTACTAAAGCATCACTGGATGCAGTATGCCCCTACAGACCCTGCTAACTCTGGTTAAGTGGATTTTCCACATAAGCATATAGCGAGCATGTAAGTAACAGGGAATGTATGAGGAAAGGAGGTAAGAAAAAAAAGAAAATCCCGCTCCATGACAGGAAGTCATTTGCTCATCGCATATTGTTCCTGAAGAGGCTTGTGGCCAGTGATGGCTTGGTGGACTTTGGTTGAGTGCTCTTACTTTACAGAGATAAAAAAAAGAAGGATGGGATGCTGGAATGTATAACCACCATACTTTAAGATAGCTTTTCCAAATAAAAAGTTACGTAGACACAGAGTCTAGACAGCTGGAACCCTTTGAAAAGTCCTTGATCCAAAAATAACACATTTTACAAATTAGGTGTGAAAAAATCATTAAAAGGAACAGAAATAAGATGGCTTGAGTACCTTCCAAAATGCTTTTTTCCCCCCACTTCTTCAAAGGAAAACTCATTTTTATAGAGTTCTACTAGTTGTTATGTCTTTTATTTTGAAACTACTGTACTTCAGTTAAAGTTTGGTTAATGCTAAATTACTCATTCTTTTCAGTTTTGACTTGGTTTAGTGATTATGATAATGTCTTTGTAAAAATTCAGTAACTTGATTTTAGCCATCTTCTCTTTTTTTTTACGTGAAAGGTAAATATCATGTAGGAAACTTGTAAAAAGCTACTTGTCATGATTCTCTTAGTGTTACTGAAGTATGTGATAAAATACCAGTTCATCAAGGTATACATGCATATAATAATTTTAAAGCAAAGTATCATTTATAATTCTAAAGCTGAAGAAATGTGTTTGCATGTATATATATAAAATAAATATTTTTATGTGATTTTGAGATATGCTTTTAAAATGGGAATATATTTCATTTGTAGATGCTGTTTTATTTTATTTCATTTTCTTTTGAGGAAGTGAAGATCAGCGTATATGCAGAAGGGCAAGCTCTTAAATGGCAGGCTTCTCATGGGAGTATTGTTTCTTGATGGCTCAGTTTTACTGTATCATTCTTAATATTCATAAATATTTTCTGAAAATATTGCAGTTAGTTATTACCTGTCATATTTATCACATTTTTTCTATATTTGCTACACATTAAAGATATTGGAATATAGAGCGCATCAACAAATGACTAAACATTGAATCTGAAACATCTGATTTCTTGATTTATTTTTTTTTAAATTCCTTTTCCTAACTATATTGTCTGAAGTATTATCCATCAGTTGTTTTCTATGTGCTCACATTCATGCACCTCATTGCAGGTCAGTTCCTCCTAGAAGAATCCCGCCTGATAGAGGCAGCTGAGATGGCAAAAAAAGCAGCTGAACTTGATCATACAGAATTTGATGTTGTTTTCAATGCAGCCCATATGCTCAGGTTAGTGCTTTTACATATGCTTACTTGATTGTCCTCCCCTCTTTTGGAGGAAGAAATTTTTTACAGCCTTTACTTACACAGAGTTCTTTTTAAAGCCCAGCAACTCCTTTGAATAATTCAATATTGCTAACAAGATGAAAAGAATTGGAGTGAAACTGTTGCAGGATTTAGCACTTTCTATTTCTAATTTTCTTTGTGTTATCTTGCAATTTCTTACCTTGAAAACTTCTGTTGTTCACAAGCAGGTAATCCTTTTTGCTTACATACAAGAACGAGTGTTTCTTTTGTGAAGAACCTTCTGCAGGATTTTCTTTCACCTCACTTAGGATGCATAGCAACTGAAAATAAGAGACCGTATTTCTGATCAGGATGTAACTAGAGAATATTGAAAATAGCACATTTTATGTTCCTATCAGTAGGGAACACTACGATAATTAGAAATCTAAATATTCCCAGGCTAATGATGACTTTAAGACTCATAGGAGCACTTAATGGTATTATCAGAATCTATGGTTTAAAATGTAGTCTTATATTTAATTCTGTTTTCCTATCTGAATAGAATAAAAGTTTAGACTTCTTTTTTTACTTTTAAAGCTGTCAGACCTGGATATTCACTAACATTAAGCTTCTGCCTGAACATTATCATTAAACTCATATTACTGTAATAGGTATCCCCCATGCTTATTTCTAGGATAACTATCTAATTATTGTCTATTGTCCGCTTAACAGCTATGAGGATACTTGATTTCATTTAGATTACATCTATGCTTAGAAAATACATGAAAAAGGAAATAAAAAATATACTTAATTAGCACAAAATAGTTACTGAGATCATTTCTCTGATGAAGATATCTCACTTGGCTGTTTATACTTTTAACATTTATGAAATGAAGGGGAAAGAAAATGGTACTAAAGAGGAGGTAGAATCATCTTCAGCCAAGTGACCTGTGTTTCAGAGTGAAGGTTTCTATACCAAGATTTTGAAATAAGCCCCCAAAATGCCCTTTGAGAAATAACTTTCACTGCTTGTAGATTAGAAAGGAAACCAAAACAATTGGTTCATTGGTGAACAATAGTTTGACCTGCCACAGGTGTATGAGCTATTTTAAGGATCTTGCCCTCTGATTATTTTCTGAACGATATCTCTCAAGAGAGAATTCAGTAATTTGCAACACTTAGATTAATGAAACAAATTCTCGGACAGAAGCATAGAAAGTTAGGCATGAAAGCTGAATCCAGAGGGGTATAGTGTGTGTCAGACTCCTGATTTCAGTGAGTGTGTTATGCAAGATGGTTTAATGATGTGATTTTTTTTGTGGGTATTTCAATGTGGTGGTGTAGATCAATACTGTTTTGGGAATAGGTTTAATAAATCTCTTACTTTCTCTACAAGCATTGAATGAAGCATCCCGGGTCTTGAAGGCACATGTCTTTACATCAGGATATGAGTATTTTTTCACTCTCAGGGCAAGAGCTATGCTGCTGTACTGTACATCAGCCATGGTTACCCTACTTGACTTGATTGGGAGTGGAGACTTTTTGGGAGATTTTGACCAGCACTGACCTCAGTGATTCTAAACTGCATTCTCTATTTTAGCTGTAAGCAAAACCCAAAAAACGTTTAAAAAAAAAAACAACAAAAAAACACCAAAACGCTTGAAAACAACAACAAAAAAAAGAGGCCTGTGGTTTAGTTTAGCTAGTTTTCAACTGTGCTCCTTTGGGACACCCAGTTGGTCTAATTTTTCACTTAAATACTCAGCTTTCTTTGTGGAAGATTGTAATATCTTCCTAATATGCTCTGGGAGTCTAAAGCGGTCTGGAGGATTTAGCAAGGGTCAGGGTGGCAAATTTAAATTCAGTCCTGCCAAGTATTTGCTTAAAACCTCGTGTGTTATGATCTGACTGATTTTTGCTAAAAGGTTATGATTCTGTTGTCTGCCTTTGTTCACTGCTTTACTTAGCAATTTCTTCAATATATTGCTTACATAACAGCTGCTGGACGAGGGCAATGTATATTCATACATTAGGACAGAGCAGCTAGAAATCCATCATGACTCTGTGGGACTTCAGAAGAAGCTGATTTTCAGGATATTTAGAATGATGGAGAGCTGAGGTGATTCCAAGAGGAAAGCAGATACCAAGAATCAAAGGAGGAAGGAAAGAAGGGAGTACTCAGACTGGCATGGAGTCACCCAGCTAGAAACTCTGGATGCTAAAGACAGTTATAAATGAAAGGCTGAAATTATTAAGTATAATATTTTCATGTAGCTGACCAACTGCTCTTTAGGTACCATAGAGAGCTATAAAAACTGACTGGAGAGTGAATACAAATTTTGAATGGACTGCACAGCTGCGAGCTAGAAAATACATTATAGAAATTCAGAGGGCATGAAAGTGAATTGACTGTTGTGAGTGAGAAGGGATAAATTTTAAAGATATATTGTAGACTAAGAGACAGAAATTGATGTTAACGTGGATGATGCAAGGTGTCCAAAATGACTGGGAGGTAATAACAGCAACTTCGATTTTTGTGTAAATTCTAATATTTCTTTTCAGAGCAAATATTCTATCCAGTGATGTACTGTTGAATTAGAAAGGAATCATTTTTCCCTCCTGTCATACTCCTGTTTCCACCACTAGCCCAAGGAGTGTCACAAGATTGTGAAACATGTAGACATTTCTTCAGAATTGCAGGCAAATTCTTTCAAATTTGGGTTATAGCTGCTTCAGATAGAAAACAATCACAACATTGCCTCCAAGCGCAATTTATTTTTCTAATCTAGTGCTAAAATATTTACCATTTTTTTAATCCCTTTACTCTCTGAGAAAAATGTTTAAATTAAAATGCAACAAAAATAAAAACAAGTTTTGAAAATTTTGAACGGGAATGCTACAGGTTATTTTTTTTTTCTTAAATTTGCAACAGAATTGTTAACTGTGTCCAAACACAGCAGCTGTATTTATAGATAGCCTGTTCTCAGTTTAGCAGTCACAAGAAAGATTCTGCTTTTTCTGTCAGGTATTCCAACACTGTTTACTTCCTCTCTTTGTGACTAAATCTGAAGTCAGGGAAAAACCCCTGAGTTAGTTCCGTTTGCATTATTGAGAGACCTCCCTGTTCCTAATTACACAAACGACAAAGTTATTAATTTTTTGCCTAGATGACTTCTGTAGGATCCTGATAATGCAATGCCAGATGAATCAAATCATCTGTAGTGGGGGTGAGATGTGGGATGAACGTGATTAATTTCTTTGCAACAGTCTAGTAACTTTTAACTTGCATAGTGCTTGCCTGTAAAATGTATTTTCTCAACAAATTTGTTTTCCAGACAGCTTCATTCAAGGATCATGTAGATGTTTGGGTGGTTCTTCTTAAAACAGTAACTGGTCATGTATTTTTCTTTTGTAGTATTTGCTATGCTCTTGCTTATAGCCTCAGTTTGAAGCCTTTCAGCAAAGCTAGGTACATTTTAATGGTATGTAGTGAAGTATATATTTGTAATGTCATACAACGGCTGTAGCTTCAGTAACTGAGTCATGTATTAACAGTGCTAAGTTTCACTTTGTAGTTGTATACTGAGGTGAGCTGCCATGAGATAGGTTTCCTGTGATCTAGGGGATGATTTCTTTGAGAATGAGGAATGGCAGTGTAGTGACACCATCGTGCTATTTAGAAACAGGAAACAAGCTTCATGTTGTCTCCAAATGAAAGCAAGCATTGGTGCTGTTTGTCTCCTAAAGCAATACTTCTTTCCAGTGATCAATGTAAAGATTCAAAATGAATGCAAGCCGAATATAACTGGCTGTCAGGAAAACCTAAGAGTGATGTGTTGTCAAGCACATTTATGAGGTGTCACTGGCAGTCAGCTGGAACAGCATACAGGGAACTGGTAGGTCTGGAGGCTCAGGTTAAGAGATAGGAGAGAATAAAAAGAGGAGACATTTTTGTCCCTTAAAATAAGATTGAATGCTAGGTGTTAATGGGGGAAATCAGATGTGTTTTCAGGGTCAGTCCTCATGAAAAGATTTAGGATAGAGGTTGAAGTATAGCTCGTAACTATGAAAAGGACTCTGTCTTCCAAACTTCTCTTTGCTTCCTTTCCTTCCTTTCTGTTTTATTATCAACACTTTATCTAATGTTTTACTCTAATGTGAATTATGTTTCCTTTAGTAATGTCCTTCCATTGTTTGACATTGATCCAGAGCCCTTTACTGCTCAGTGGCATAGGGTTACTGCAATTTCCTACCTCTGTGCCTTTAATTTTTCTCAAGGGAAGGCCATTCCAGGGCTTAACGTAATGAATTTCTAGTTTAGATTTCCAGTGAAAACAGGAACCAGAATTCTGCTGTATCTTAACTAAAGGAACTGTTGCTGAATGCCCTAGAAATGGAACTGGCATTTTCCTGACTAGTGTGGTGTGCGTTCATTTCTATAAACCATTTTTAATGGAGAACTATAAATTCAAACTGATTTCAACTTAGGAGTTAATGATCCACGTTTCAAGATGTACATGTGGGAGAAAAGCCATGTATTTCCACTGGGCTAAAAGGAGACAGGGTTTTAATTTGTTCCACGTTCATATGCCAACAACACTTTTTGGAGGCAAAGTCTGTATCCTGGGTGAGGCACCTTGTTTATTGTATTGAATTTCACCACATTCATAAATGCTTTGTTTCCTGACAGTTTTGTGCAAACAGGAAAAAAAACCCAAAACTCTGTGACATGTTTCATTTTATGTGCCTTGTAGTAAATCCTGAAATTCAGAAGTATGAGATTATTTTTTTCCAGTTATTTCAAGTGCTACTAATGCCCAGCAGGAGTGATTCAGAAGCAGGTTAAATGAATATTTTTAGACATTCAATCGTTTCTAACCACTGCAACCACTGAGTCGATGATACATGTGCAAAGTAATTTAAAACAGTTAACAGGTATAAACCAGGTTCTACTTGGCAAATTGTTAGTCAGGAAGTGGTTTCAGCTTGCATGTGAATTATGTGAGAAACTTCAAAGGGATTATTCTTCCTCCCTTTCTCCTCCCAAGACCAATAAATGTCAAAATGTGTTGATTTGGATTAATTGCCTTTCATGTATTATCTGGCTAATGTTTAAAATTTGGGTGGATGGGAACATAAAATTAGAACACAATTTGATCACTGAATATCAAAGCATGTAAAGCTCATGTAATGAGCAAGGTAAAATCTCCAGATACAAGTGCTCAGTTGATTGATACTCTTTGAACTAGTAACTGTTCTTGCAAGCAGAAGAAAAAGGAAAAAAAATCAAAACAACCAACCCTACTTAGCATTATCCTTGTTTTCTAATTTTTTATTTTGTATCACAGAAATGCATCTGTAGTCACATAACAAGTACAAATATGCTGAAGATCTCCTTCTGTCCTAGGTGCCCTGAAGGGACCTAGAAAAAAAAGCAAATAACGTTTGCAGAAGATATGTAGTCTGCCTGATAGTCCTGTTTGGTTGTTCTTACATATTTACTGTCTTTCTCATGATACGTATATGATCAACTGATATTCATTGGGCCAGCAGCCAAAATGAATAGTTGGAGTGAAATTAAGAAGGTGGAGACAAAACGAGAAGAGAGGAGTTTGAGAGAAGAGATAAAAAAGGCCTGTTGAGACAAAAATGTGTTTGGATTTCTTTGGCAACATACTGCATTTTCATTTGAAGGCATTAAACTGAAAACTCAGGAGAAGAAATAAAAATTAAACTACTATGAGAATGTAGATGCCATCTATATTAGTAAGGAAAAGAAAAAAGAAGTGAGTTGATAGTGCTTCAGGTACCCAGAAACTCATCTTATTCCCCTAGGATATGAAATCTAAGTTTAAATCCCCTCTCAGGCTGATGTGAGTAAATGTTGAACACTCTTGTCTGAATGAATTCCCAGAGTCATGGAAACCTATTTTTGAGAAATCATTCTCTTCGCTGATTAATTTTTTTTTTTTGTGGAATTATAGTGTTCTTCATGAGGCACAAAGAAAGGAACTGCATTATTGTATAATCTACAGCTTCGTAATTTACTGTTAAAGTGTGGCTAATTACAAAAAATGAGCCAGATTTTCCTCTGATGAAGAGTGATGTCTCTGTTTTTGCCTCAGATGAGTGATTGGTCTTCTGTATCTCTCTCCAGTGTGTACTAATATCATTTCAGAACTAAAAAGAAAATAAGGTAGGCAAGGAAGATTTGCGATAATGGACATTCTGAACTATAAAATAATCTTTTAGATTGACATGTTTTGTGCATTTGTTAGGGTAATATAGTTAAACAGTGGGTAGTAGTTGCAGTATTTTGTTTAAAGAAGTATTTTATTTAAAGAAGCTCTGCTTCTTTAGGTATGGTTTCTTTTTTTAACCCAAGGAAAATGATGTGTAACTATATCGTTTTTTTCTGTCCTGGTAGACAAGCCAGTCTCAATGAAGAAGCCGAGAAGTATTATGAAATGGCAGCAGGATTAAGACCTAATGTAAGTACCTTCTTAATGATATCCGTTACGTAAGTTGATGATTTCTAGATTTAGATTTATTTATCTACCTTTAAATGTGTTAAGTTCATATGCTCTCAAAATTCCATCTATTTTCACTAGTAAAAGAGAATGAATGCATATGGTTCGTGACTTTTTAAAAGTATTTTAATGATGCAGAGTGGGAAAATTGTATCGATTTTCACTGCCAGCATCAACTGTCTGACAACTATACAAGGGCAATCTCTCAAGAATGAAAATAAAAACAGAAGTAGTCATACATATCTTTTTTCTTATTATTAATTCTCAAATTTACCATAATAGTTTCAGAGTGGAAAAAAAAGAAGCTACTCGAGGAGGTTTTCTAGGTAGTAAGCAATATAATTCAAACATGGTAAGACAGAAGCTCCTGATGTTTCCAAAGGAGTACAAAATGCAAATCAGTGAAATCCTGTGTACTTCATAGCTACATCTGTACTGGTAAATTAAATGTGACCAGGACTATTCTCTAGCGTTGATCCAACTGACTTCTCAGAGTGTGCCCAGGTACTGTGTGAGAGACTGCAGTGGCCCAGTCCAGTGCTGGGTAGGAACCATCCTCACAGCTTGAAAATGCCCACAGTTTAATTTTTTATTTTGGATATAGCCTGTGTATCCTCTCACTGTCTTATGAATATGAAGGATCAGCAAAATTATGTGAATCAAGATGCTAAAGAAATATCCTTAAGCAAAGTATAGCACTGAAGGATGTTAATTTCATTTTTTTGTATCCATCACTAACGATCTAGAAACATTTCTTTGTAGAAAATTCAAAATCCTAGATGCATGAATGTGATGTAATATACAGATGCATGCATACATACAGTTCCATATATATCTATACATATATTTGTGTGCACCTGTTTATTGTTAGTTGCTAAGAGGTCTGTTCCCAAATTCCCTCTCAGTGAGAATACTGAAGCGCTGAAGTCTCATTCTGTGCAGTGGATCAGCCTTGTTCCTAGAACAACTAAGTGCTAAAAGCATCTGTTTAACAAGAACCTTCCCCCTTCTGGTCCTTGACATGTTACCTGTTGACATCAGTGAATTTCAGATCAGGATTCCAAGTAAACTGGAGCTCTCCTTTTTTTTTTTTTTAGCATGTTTTTTTTCCTTCCTGTGGTTTCCCAGTCACTCCTCCAGATCCCAAGTTGAAGATCCATTTGTCTGTTGCCAACTCCTTTCTTATTCACTGTACCAAGACAACTAAATTATTGGGTTTTCTTTAGAATTAGACCCATGCTTACCTCCTGAGGGATTTTCAGCTAGTGCAGCCTAAAATGAAACTCAGATTTCCATTCTCTTGCATCCATTTCTTTGCAAATATTACATATTGTGTAATATCTCTAATACCAGTCCTATAAAATTCCACCCTTAGCAGCAATAAGAGATGCTAGTAATACTACAAACTCAATCTTTTACTGATTGTTTGCGAATTTATATGCTCATTGGCCTTTCATGACACAATTTTGTTCTCAGCATCCTTGCTTTGTTTTCCTTTGCATCCTTTTCTTCGGTTTCTCAACTGTTCGTGTTGCTTTCGAAATGAAGCAATACCTCATACATAGTACTTCCTCGCTTGCTCCCCAACGTATAAGTCCTTTGGATCCAGAAGCTGCTCTGCTGAGCTTTTCTACACCCAAGTCCAGTTTAAATGGCCATCTGAGTTAAGACTTTCAGAGCTCCTTAGCTGGCTATTTCAGTGTTTTTTACAGACAGCAGTCTCTGCTCTTGCATTTGTCTCCTAAGCCTTTTTTTATTTCAGTGTCTCAAGACTGGGGCACAGCAGTGAGCAAACAATACGCCTTCAAGTCTGAGTCACTTTTTCATTCAACTAATCCATTTTTACAAAAGTTGTGGCTAAGGAGGCTAAAAACATCCCCAGAAAAACAGTATTCAGTTACAGGAGAAATGTAACTTCTCTGAAACATGCAAGCCATTGTTTTTAAGAAAGCAAACAGAAAGATTTTGTTTTTGTTGTATTGGGGGTGATTCATTTCTCATTGAACTAATTCTGAGAGGACTGAAAAATACTGAAAATACCTTGAAAGTGAAAAGCTTTATTACAATGAATAACATATTTGCCAAAAAAATATACTTCAATCAAGTGAATACCGCACAGATGTATTAAAATATATATCCACATCCTGAACATCATCTTTGCTTTTGGATACACCTTCATTCTGCAGAGTGTGAAAGAATTAAAACACTTCAGTACAATAGCAGCACCAGCTGAAATGCAGGTTGGGTGCAAAGAAAAAACAAATCTGGCTGGTATGATTATTCCAGATTTGGACCTAACTGTTCTCTTAATAACGGTCATGATTGGCCTTATTTGCAGTAGGTGTGTATTTATCTACTATCAAAGTAATTTCCAGTCAAATTTCAGAAGAGCAGTGTTTTCTGTAGAATATAGTGCTGCTGTGGAGACAAGAATCATTTGTCTTAAACTTCACTGAAGAAGCAGACATTCTCAAGATTATGTCTATTTATTTTCAAATAGGCTTCACAGAGTTGACTTTCCCTTGGAGAACCAAGGGGGAGAGAGGAATCCAGGAAGCAGTTCGGAGAAGGAATTACTTTTATTTGCTATGAATCATTTCTTACATGACTCTCTTTTCCTCCTTCAACTCTACAGGTAACCTACAGAGACAAGCCTCCCTAGCCCCTGGATCTTTTTGAATACTTTCCAAAAAATGCGTTCCCACATTGTGTGTTTACCATGATCAAAACAAAATAATTTTAGAGCCTTCTCAGGGAGAAGCACATATGTGTTTGTTCTAGCAATGTTGACTTGGATGTATGTTAATCACATTAGTCTAATTTTAAGAAATTCAGTTGCATGAAGAAACGAAAGTGTAAGTTTCTTGGACAGCAAGATGCTTACGCAGTAATTATTCTGAGTGGGAGCATTGCTGAGTAAAATCTGTATTCAGAGATGGTTTCTAGATGCCCTACATATTGTAATGTTCACAAACCAGGAAATTATTTTAACAAGATGTTAGGCACTCTAAAATGTGAGCTTTAAGCTCACTTTGTTGTGGAAAAACCAGTCATCTAGAAACTCTCTTTAAATTGCTGTTCTTTACAAGAATGTGAGATCTTGACTTAAGCTTCAGCTTTTATTCAACTTTTAAGACATCATTTGTGCAATAGAACTGCATTTCTAATTTTTTAAGTCTGAACTTGAAGCAGCCAATCTTTAAAAATCTGCTCTAGAACCCCCACATATGGCCAATGGCTCTTGAGAAGAAAGTGCACTTTGAAGTATGACCTCAAGAGTATTAAATGAAAGAGAGCTCACCAGAGCCTTAAGACTTTGAGCCACCACCTTGAGCTGATTGGCTTAGAAGCATTCCTCAAGGAGGTGCCATGACCTGCAAGTCACTACCATCCCAACCACATATTAGTGCTGCTTGCAATCTGGAGCTCATGACAGCTTTAAGCCCCATGTCATCGGCACATTGTCAGAAACAGCTGTTTCCACTCTACCACTTCAAAAGGGCTTGATTAAATGTCTTACTGTAACAACACACATAAAGGCAAACACATAGAATGAGGGGGGAAAGGAGAAATGTACCTATAAGCAAAATAAATACAATTTCCACTAGATGGTGTTTAATCATGATGTGGAGGACTAAACCATTTCTTGACTTGAAGGGTTTATGTAATCAGTTAACACAATATCATATTAAAAAGGAGTTTCTCCAAGTGCTGCTTTTATTTTTTTTTCCCCAGCACTGGAATACAGATTTCATGTCAAAGGCTCCAGGCTTGCAATAAGCTCTACTTTGAGCTGTCTAACAGTTGAAAGAAGAATCCTGGTGATTTCCAGATAATTGACTGTATTTTTATAGCCACCTTATAGATAACATGCTTTCACTGCCTCCTTATGGAAAGTGTTCATAATATATGGGTTTTATTCGTGGTAAGACCTCTAAAAATGAATGTACTTCCGATAGTACGTACATCTTTAAAAAATAAAGTAGATGTTGGATTTTGTCTTAAAACATATGTAGCCAAGATCTGCTTTATCACGTACTTTTTCCTTAGGTGTTTCCATGCCAAATTTCCCTATTTGACTTTCTTCTGAACGTTCAGCAATTCTCCCATTTGGCTTGACCAGGCTAGGAGTAATTGTGAGGGATATCGCTTTAATGCATTCTGCCCGCTTTATTAACGGCATGTTCTGTTATTGCCAGGGAGAATTTTCATAAAATTTTTATGAGTTCCTGCTATGCTAGTTCTACTGCTGATGACAGTAATGGATAGGTTAACAGTGATTGTTCAATTGTCTGCACCTGATCCTCAATTGACAAAAAACTGGCAGTGTTCCACACTTCTCTGGATCCAATGTCCTCCTCACATTGCTCCAGGGAAACTGCAGATCCCTCACCAGTGATGAATCTATTGCTCCTGCAGCTCTTGCGCAGGTCTACCTAGTCTCTGTTGTTGTTCAAACCCAGCTGGGGTGTCTTGCCATCATATTCCTGGTTTCTGGAGCAGAGTACAGATAAAGCTGATGTGGTCCTCTAAAGAAACAGTACATATGTGATTTTTACACTATGTATTATTGCCAATAAAGCATGACACCTTCCAGTTGAGAATCCTTGTTTTTAAAATGCTCTTCTATTTACATGTTTATTCAAAGTAATGACCACAAGGCAATCTTATATCTTTATGTTTTGGTACCATGGAGTGACAACACAGCTGTATTTTTAGGTAGTTAGCATTCAGCAGATTCACCTGTTCAGTGGTCTTACATTACTTGTGTCTGCCTTTAGAGAAAATACAAAAGTGGGTCTTGTGTGGCAGGTGGAGCTTCTGCTGATTGCCTGCCTGCCCTCCAAATTGCTCCCAGCTCCTGCCCTGTGTCAGGGCTGCACAGCTTCCCACTACCAGCACCAGCTGCTGCTAAGCCCTGCATTGTTTAAGGCTTCCTCTCAAGTGTGCCAAACTTTCTG